GAGGAGAAGAGAGGAGGGAGGAGGAGGAGGAGGAGGAGGAGGAGGAGGTGAGGAGGAGGAGGAGGAGGAGGAGGAGGAGGAGGAGGAGGAGGAGGAGAAGAAGGAGCGACGATGAACGATGAGGGGGAGCGAGGAGGAGGATGAGGAGGAGGAGGAGAAGTAGGAGCAGGAGGGCCTGCACTGCGAGGCCGGGGGGCTCCGAACGTAGCGGATCGAGGCTGCGTGTGGCCTTTGAGGGGAATATTGAAAAATAGTCAGAGGAAAGTCGGGGGACTATTTTTTGAGTATTTTTTGTCCATTTTGGAGTATGTTTTTAGTATTTTTATTTTTTCGTCGAAAATTCCCCTGTAGGGGGACACGCCCGACTTAAGCCCAGGGTGACGAGCCAGTCCAGGGGAAGAGGTCCAAAACTCCAGGAGCCCACGCCGGAAAAAAATGACTTCGCCGTGGCCAGAGATGGTGGTGGAGGACGAGGAGGCAGTGAGGAGGCATCGACGAGGCAGCGACAAGGAAGAAAGCTGGATGCATGCCCTCCATCCGTCTCAGCGTTGCAGGATGTCCACGTCGTGGACGTATGCTTCGCGGAAGTCTCACGCGAAAGCTCCGCTTCGAAAGAGGAACCGCCGTAATCCGTCTCTGCTGTTGCGCAATATGGAATGCCTAGTCGTAGAGGCCGAGGTCAGGCCACGTGAGTGTAGATTATGGGCTTTGTACTCGAATGTGGTCGAGCGCCGTCGTCGTCGCCGAACGTCGTCGAACGTTGTCAAACATTGTCGACGTCGTCGTCGTCGTCATCGTTGTCGTCGAACAACGTCGTCGTCGAACGTCGTCGAATGTTGTCGGAAGTCGTCGAACTCAGTCGGACGCCGCTGTCGTTGTCGAGCATCGTCGAATGTTGTCGAACGTCGTCAAACGTCGTCGTCGTCGTCGTCGTCGCCGTCGTCGTCGTCGTCGAAAGCTGTCGTCGTCGCCGTTGTCGTCGTCGAACAACGTCGTCATCGAACATTTTCGACGTCGTCGTCGTAGAATGTCGTCGAACGTCGTCGTTGTCCTTGTCATCGGACGCCGCCGTTGTCGTCGAACATCGTCATCGTCGTCGTCGTCGTGGTCGTCGTCGTAGAACGTCGTCGTCGTCGACTGTCATCGACCGTCGTCGTCGTCGTCGTCGTCTTCGTCGAAGGTCGTCGTCAAACGTCGGCGACCGTCGCCGAATGTCGTCGTGGTCGTGGTGAAAAGGTCTTTGCACGTTGTCGAAAGTCCTCGAACGTCGTCGTCGTCGCCGACGTCGCCATCGTCGTCGTCGTCGTCCTCGTCATCGTCGTCGTCGTCGCCATCGTCGTCGTCAAACGTCGTTGTCATCGAACGTCGAACATCGTTGTCGTGGTCGTGCTCCCCATCTTTGTCGTACGTCGTCGAACGTCTTCGACCGCTGTCGAATGTCATCGTCGTCGTTGATGGTGTCGTCGAGCGTCGTCTTCGTCGTCGTCGAACGCCGTCGCCGTCAAACGTCGTCGAACTTTGTCGAAAGACGTCAGGAGTCGTCGTCGTCGAGTGTTGTCGAACGCCGCCATCGTCGTCGATCGTTGTCGAACGCTGCCGAAGGTCGTCGAACTTTGTCGTCGCCGTCGGCCGTCGTCGAATGTCGTCGCACGTCGTGGTCGTCGTCGAACGTTGTCGTCGTTGATCGTTGTCGGCCGTCGTCAGGTTTCTTCGAACGTCGTCGTCGTCGTCTTCGTCGTCGGACGCCAGCATTCGACATCGTCGTCGCACGTCGTCGAATATTGTCGACCGTCGTCGTCGTGGTCGTCGTCGTCGTCGTCGTGGTCGTCGTTGTTGTGTTCGTCGTCGTCGTCGAACGACGTCGTCGCCGTCGAACGTAGTCGAACGTTGTCGAACGTCGTCGTCGCCATCGTCGTGTAACGCCGTCGTCTTCGTCGCCGAAAGTCGTCGAACGTCGTCGTCATCGTCACTGTCGTGTCACGCCGTCGTCTTCGAAGTCGTCGAATGTTGTCGAACTTCGTCGAACGTGATCGTCGCCGTCGTCGTCGTCGAACAACGTCGTCGTCGAACATTGTCGACGTCGTCGTATAATGTCGTCGAACGTCGTCGCAGTCCTTATAATCAGAGGCTGCCGTCCTCGACGTCGAACGTTGTCGGACGTCGTCCTCGTCGAATGTCGTCGGACATCGTCGTCGTCGTCGTGGAACGTCGTCGTTGTCGAACGTCGTCGACCGTCGTCGTCGTCGTCGTCGTCTTCGTCGAACGCCGTCGTCGGCGTCGAGCGTCGTCGAACGTTGTCGAATGACGTCGAACGTCGTCGTCGTCGTCGTCGTCATCATCGTCGTCGTCGTCGTCGAACGTCGTCGTCGTCGTCGTTGTCGAATTTCGTCGTCGTCGTTGCCGAACGTCGTCGAAAGTCGTCGTCGTCGTCGTCAAGCGTCGTTGTCGTCGTGCACGTTGTCGTCCTCGTCGTCGTCGTTGTCGCCGGACCTCTCCGCCGCCGCCGCCCGAAGTGCCCAAAGGTGCCCCCCGCCGCTGCCTGTCCGTGCGGCGGCGCCGCGGCGGGATCCTACGTGCCGCTGCCGGCCACGTATGGCGTGCCGCAGGCGCTCTCCGTCGCGTTTTCGGCCCGCGCGCGCGACGATGACGCCGACGCCGACGCCGGCGACGACGACGACTTTCGACAACGACCACGGCGGCCACGACGAGGAGGAAGAGGAGGAGGAGGCGGACCAGTGTAATTCCAAGGCTCATCAACGAGGTTGGATTAAACCCTCTCATCAAGCTTCCTCTTCAAGGGCCCTTATATTCATTCATGTCCAGTGAGGGAAGTGCCCGTTGGAAAGCGACCAGCCGTTCGAAGATCCTGAAGCGTGCCAAAACATTATTCTCGGGATTTCAACTCCACGAATTAGCTTGACTTTTGCGTCTTGACGATCCTGAATCGCGCCAGAATTCCATGCCTGGGACTACAACACGTCGAATCAACGTAACTGCTGTGCCCTGGCAATCCTGAATCGTTCCAAACTGCCGTTTCTGGTACGTTAGCCACAGGAAGCAGTACAACTTTTGCAACATTTTAAGACGAATGCGCGCGTCGCTGCGGCGAGAACCACATTTTGAAAAGGAACGGCCCTCAACCCGTCAAGCCCATGCAAATTTTAGAACGGCTGTACGCGGCGCTGAGGCGGGAGCCAAATTTTGGAAACTTGCCGCCTTCAATCCGTGAAGATCTTGCAACTCTTGACAACGAATGCGCGCGGCGCTAAGGCGAGAGCCACATGTTGGAAACCGCCCGCCTTCAATCCGTGAGATTCACATGCGCGGCGCTAAGGCGAGAGCCACATGTTCAAAACCACCGGCGCTTCATCTATGAAACTATGCGGGCGAGGGAATCCCACTGCCGCCCTGCCGCGACGGCGACAGCCCCGGCGCCCGACGCCGTGCGAAACCGTCTCCATGGTGGCAGTTGTGCGCGGCGGCCGCTGCCGTCCCGGCCGGAAGCGGACGTCGAGCCGTGGCCCCGCCCCACTCTCGCCGGCCGCCCCCGGCGCGCGCGCGCGCGCCCAGTGCTGCCCCCCCCCCCCCGGGCTCCAGGCCCCCCAGAGGGGGTCCGAGCACATAGAGAGGGTCGGACCCTCCACCTCCATCTTCCATGCCTTCCGACCTCGTGCGGAAGGCGCGGAAGGTGATGCATTGAAACTATCGAAAGCCTCAGGAAACGTACGAGCACTAAGCATTTCACGAAGCGCATGAGTGTGGAAGGTCAGCACGGAAGGTCTGAGGGCGAGGGGATGGTCGCGCCACATCGCCGATGCATCGGCGAGGCGGCTCGATGTGTGTCCCGCTCTGCCTCGCGTTGACGTCGCCAGTGCACCGCCGACGTCGACGATGCATCGCCGATGCGCCGCCGATGCGTCGCGATTCTCCGACCCCACCTGCTCGGACCCCGTCTGGGAGGCCTCTACCCCCCCCCCTGGGCGGGCCGCCCCGGAGCCGATGAGCGACTCGACCTACAGGAAGACCGCGCTGCCTGTGAAGCTCAACCTGCAGGACCGGAACACGCGGGCCCAGATCCAGTCGGGCACAGACGAGAAGGCGAGCAACAGGGGCAACCTCGAGGCCGAAGAAACAGACAAGTGGCACGGTCAAAGTTCCGAGCTCCACGCAGATTGCTTGGATCGGCGCTGGCACCTCCTGGCGGCCAGGGAGGGGGAGGTCCAGCACGGATCCAAGAAATCCGCGCGGAGTTCCGAAAGCTTTCTGTTTATGCTTGTTTTTGATTTCCCACGAGGGCGTCAAGGCCGTCTCCGGGACCCGCGTGTCGTCCGCCGCGCAGTCGCAGAAGGGGTGCACCGACGTGATGCGGAAGGACCTCTGCGACTGGCTCGACAGCCACGGCGTCGCCGGGGCGCCGCCCTCCGCGGAGGCGGAGCAGCGCGCGATGTGGTCGTGGATCAGGGACTTCCACAAGGAGTCAGACGGGGGCAAATTGAGACAACGGTACAGTTGATCCGATAGTGAGGATAGGCAACCTTCCCAAGGGTACCCTTGTATCCTCGCCTCCTCGGTCCATCCTGAACCACTTTCGATGGCCGGCCCCGCTCGAAAAGCTTCGGTATGGACGCCCGCGGGGCTTGCATCCTTATCGCGCTTCCTTACTATCAGTTTTGACTGCAGCTGGCCTTCTGGGGGCTGAGCGCGGCTCGGGAAGCTCCGGCGTTTGGGCCCGTGGAGCAGTCTGGGGGCCGATCTGGAGTGAGTTTGCCCTCACCCGCCCTCTCGGCAGATCTTTTCGCTGGGCTTCTCCGGCTCTCACTCCCCGGCCGCCCCCAACAGGAGTACAGCGACGACTGGTTCTCCAGGAACATGCCCCGCCTCCACGAGCAGTTCCGGCCCGTCTTCGTCCAGGAGATGAAGAAGCGCAAGGCCGAGGCCGCGCCGCCCGCGGCGGCCCCGGCGCCGGACCTCCTCGACCTCGGCGGGGGCGCGGCGCCCGCGGCGCCCGCCGCCCCCGCCGCGGCGCTGGCGGACGACCTCCTGTCGCTCGACGCCCCCGCCGCGCCCGCCGCTGGTCGCGCACCGCGGCGGCGTCCGCCGCCGCCGCGCGCCGCCCCCTCAGCTACGGCGGCTGCCCTGGACCCCGGCCTCGCTCGGCGCCCGCCGCCGGCGGGCGCCGCCCGCCGCGCCGCCGAGCGGCGGCGGCCTCCTCGACCTCGGCGGCCTCGGCGGCGCCGCGCCGCCGCAGCCGGCGGCCGCCGCGCCGCCGGCGGGCGGCGGCCTGCTGGACCTCGACCTGTTCGGCGGCGCGGCCGCCCCGGCCCCGGCGCTCCGAGGGGGAAAAGGTACACCACCATACCGCTGGGCCCTCCGCCCGCTTCGCCCTCTTGCTGGGCCTCCGGGAGGGCCCTCGCCGCCGCCGCCGGGCTCGGCCCGAAGTTCTGGCCGGAGCGCACCCCCGGAGAGGTCCGGGGAGCATCGGTGCCTCGTCGTCCCCGGGCGCAGGCAGCGGCGGCCGTGGCCGGGCCGGCGCCGGCCGCGGGCCAGGGCGCGGGCCTGCTCGACGGCCTCTTCTGAGGGGGAGGCCGCGCAGCGTTCCTTCGCCTGCTGCTGGGGGGGGGGGGCAGCCTCGAGTGGGTGCGGTCGAGGGGGGCACGGAGAGCATGGCCATCCAGGGAGGCTGGCAGGGGCCTCTGCCCATTTTGAACCAGGATTTGGGCCACGCAAGACTCGAGTAAGCCGGAACTCGGGTTTGCCGTTTTTTTGTTTGACGAGCGCATCCTGGATTTTGACTGTCCCGTTTTCGTGGGATGTTTGCAGCGGGAGCCCGCGTCAAATTTCAGATAGGGTCTCGTCATTTTACCTAACATCGAAGACTGATAGGTTTCTAATAGGGTAAAAAGAGAGCAGCACATTACTCCACAGGGGGGTCTGGGCAGCCGTTGGGGAGCCGTTGGGGGGCCGTTGGGGGGGCCGTTGGGGATTCCCGGGGGGGATCCGCGGAACCTCGTTTTTCGCATACAGTCACACACTTCGTGCTCTTCGACCTCCCAGAACTCCATTCCCGGGCCGCATTTTGAATGCCCGGAGCCAACTTTGTACGCATTCCGCTGCTCTGGCACTAGACCTGCAATCCCAGAACTTCATTTCCTGGGCCACATTATTGGGGCCATCGCACACATACACATAGTATCGTAGGCCACCCTTCGGGCTCTTCGCACTTCCACAGAACACACTCCTTCCCCGGGGCACATTTTGGCCATGCCCGGAGCCAACTGTAGGCCACTTCGTGTTCTTCGAGTTCCCAGAACTCCAGTCCCGGGCCACATTTTGAATGCTGAGGCAGGCTGATGCTGAGGCTGAGGCAGGCTGAGGCTGAGGCAGGCTGAGGCTGAGGCCGAGGCTGAAGGCAGACTGAGGCTGAGGCTGAAGCAGGCTGAGGCTGAGGCTGAGGCAGGCTGAGGCTGAGGCTGAGGCAGGCTGATGCTGAGGCAGGCTGAGGCTGAGGGTGAGGCTGATGCAGGCTGAGGCTGAGGCAGGCTGAGGCTGAGGCCGAGGCTGAAGGCAGGCTGAGGCTGAGGCTGAAGCAGGCTGAGGCTGAGGCTGAGGCAGGCTGAGGCTGAGGCTGAGGCAGGCTGATGCTGATGCAGGCTGAGGCTGAGGCTGAGGCTGATGCAGGCTGAGGCTGAGGCAGCCTGAGGCTGACGCCGAGGCTGAAGGCAGACTGAGGCTGAGGTGAAGCAGGCTGAGGCTGAGGCTGAGGCAGGCTGAGGCTGAGGCAGGCTGAGGCTGAGGCTGAGGCAGGCTGAGGCTGAGGCCAGGCTGAGGCCGAGGGCGAGGGCTTGCAGCAGATCTTGAGGCTTGAGGCTGAAAGCAGCTGAAGGCTGACGATGAGGCAGGCTGAGCTGAGGGCATGAGGCCTGAGCAGGCTGATGTGAGCAGAGCTGGAGGTCACTGAAGGACTGAGGGGGCTGATGCAGGGGGGGGGGGGCTGAGGGCCTGAGGCAGCTGAGGCTGAGGCAGGCTGAGGCTGAGGCAGGCTGAGGCTGAGGCCGAGGCTGAAGGCAGACTGAGGCTGAGGCTGAAGCAGGCTGAGGCTGAGGCTGAGGCAGGCTGAGTCTGAGGCAGGCTGAGGCTGAGGCTGAGGCAGGCTGAGGCTGAGGCTGAGGCTGAGGCTGATGCAGGCTGAGGCTGAGACAGGCTGAGGCTGAGGCCGAGGCTGAAGGCAGACTGAGGCTGAGGCTGAAGCAGGCTGAGGCTGAGGCTGAGGCAGGCTGAGGCTGAGGCAGGCTGAGGCTGAGGCAGGCTGAGGCTGAGGCGGAGGCTGGGCTGTGACCTGGACTGCGACTGCCGTTGCCACTGCGACTGTCATCGCGAAAACGACTACGACTGCGAGAACAGCAGAATTCTACAACTGGATTCTCATCCGAATCTTAAGGGGGATGCTTCCAGATATGCTCCTACACATCGATGTTAGGTTGCTTTGCCGGGATAATTTAGGATGGCCCCAGTCAGGCCAACCCGAGTCCCACGTACCCGAGTCTTACGTCTCCCCGAAAGGAATGCGCTGTCGGCGTCGCTGCTGACGTTGCCCGTTTGGGGCAGAATGCCGCCTGCCCAACGGCAGCCGCTGTCGGCTGTGGACAGCATTCGTTGTTTGGCATCGTGCCCAGTCGTTTCGTACCCGCTTCGGGCTTTCAAGTCAATCTCTTGGGTCAGGGAAAGGTGGCTTCACTTCCTTCGATTCTCGTTGCTCGGGTCCGTATCTGTTGCAATCAGTGTGAGTATATATATATATATATATATATGTATATATGTATATGTATGAGTATATGTATATGTACATGTATATGTATATGTATGTGTATATGTAATATATATATATATGTATATGTATATGCATATGTATATGTATATGTATATGTATATGTATATGTATATGTATATATATATATATATATATTTGTATAGGTATATGTATGTGTATGTGTATATGTATATGTATATGTATATGTATATGTATATGTATATGTATATGTATATGTATATGTATATGTATATGCATATGTGTATGAATGTATATGTATGTATGTATGTAGGTAGGTAGGTAGGTAGGTCGGTAGGTAGAACTGTATGTATGCATGCATGCATGCATGCATGCATGCATGCATGCATGTATGTATGTGTGTATGTATGTATGCATGTATGTATGTATGTATGTATGTATGTATGTATGTAGGTAGGTAGGTAGGTAGGTAGGTAGGTAGGTAGGTAGGTATGTGTGTATGCATATGTCTTCCTAATTGTGCTTTTCTCCTGTACTTCCTTTGGAAATTCTTCGCCCGCGCCCCTGGCTAGAATCTTCGTCGGAAGCAGTTGTTGTTTCCCTTAGCTTGCCCTTCGCGGACTCTGACCCCCTGAACCAGGCATCCCAAATGAAGGAGGATCGCGCCGCATCACCGATGCATCGGTGATGGCGGCTCGATGTGGAGCCCGATGTTCTCCACGCCGGCGTCGCCGATGCACGCCAACGCCGCCGACGCCGATGAATCGGCGATGCGGCGCGATCCTCCAAGCCCAAATACTCGGACCCCATCTGAGCGACGCAAGAATAGGAGTCGTCTGCGCCGACATCAGCGTGTAAGCTGCCCGCGTAAGGTCGCGCGTGAGCGCCCTTGCCTCCAAAGTAACGTGCCGCGCTGGCGGCCTGCGTAATCCGCCGCGTAAGGTCGCTACGCTATCTTGCGGAAGGCCCGATTCTTTTCGTCGCTCATCTGGGAGGCTCGGCGGCGAGCCTGGGGGGGGGGTGAGACGGGGCGGGCCGTCTCAGAAGGCTCGAAAATTCCCCCGAGCTCCCCCAGCCTTCTGAGCAGTTTTCTATACACCTCCCTGAAGGCCTGAGGCTTTCCGAGAAGCCCCGCCGCCTTCTGAGAAGGCCCTCTCCCTCTCGCTTCCCCCCCTCGCTCGCCGCCGATGGGCGGCCTCGATGAGGCCGGTCCCCATCCAGCAGGCGGTCACCACGTACCAAACCACCCCAACCCAACCCGAAGGCCTCAATTTGCCCTCCATTTCCAGTGGGGGGGGGTCGGGGAACGTTGAAAAAACGCATGGGTCTTCGTGTTGGGTTGGGGTGGTCTGGTAGGTAGGCAGGCGGACGACGCGCGGCATGCCGCGCGCCCTCGACGGCCTCCCGAGTCGCGGGAGGAACGGGCCGCTCACGCCGCTCAGCGGCAGCGGCCGCGGCGCCCAACGGGCAGCGCCTGCTGCGCGTCCGCCGGGCTGGTACCTCCTCAGGGGCAAGGAGGAGGGGGGCATAGGCTCGGGGGGCGGGCATCGACCCCCCAGTCGCCCACCGATCGCCCACAGGGGGTCTGATAGGCCCACGCTCCGCCCAGGAACGTGCGGGTTCGCTACCCGAGGGCCCGTCGGCGCTCTATCGGCGACGTGTCGCCGATTCCAGGTCGATCTCCCCTCCCCTGAGCCAGTCCCTCCTGATCGTTGCCCCTCGCACACCTGCGCGCCCAGGGTAAAAAGGAGCGCCGCGCCGTCGTCGTCGGCGCAGGGATCCTGGCCTCCTCGTCGGTGTTCGGGCGTCTTCGTTGGGCTTCGGCGGTTGTTTCAGCCTCGGGAAGCTTCCCAGCATCTGCGCCTCGCCGAGTGCGTTCTGGGGGTGCCCGGATCGTCCCCATGGGCCGCCAGAGAGCCGAGTTGCGGTCGAGCATCTGATTAAGAAACCTCCTCCCGAAAGGCTGGCCCAGTTCCTGGAGCGCCTTCGCCCCTCCCCGGAGTTCACCGCAGAACTCGGCCTGGGCTTGTTTTGAAATACTTTCCGGGCAGCTGGCCAGATTTCTTTACTTCTATTTGTCTTGATCCCATTTCCGGCTGCCTGGCCCGAAAACTTCGGGGGGTGGGCCGACCCTGAGATCCGGGCGTCGCGGTTCTTGCACGGCGGAGATCGGTCCGGCTCGAGCAGAGAAGGCCGCCGACACCGCTTGGGCCC